CATTCGTAAAATGTTACATTTTCGACTGATAACAATTCGCAAAAAGTAAATAACTGAACTGTCAATGCAAATGACGCCAAACACATTTTTGTTATTCAAAACCTGTGACATAAAAAATATCGGAAATTTCGATTCTCGGTGAGTAACACATGCAACATTATTTTTAAACGGATTTTACACAAAAATGGAACATCCTACCAATCTGAACTAAGAGTACCTTTTTTTACTAAAAAACTCTGAAATTTCATACTTTTCAGTCAAAAATCAAAAAATTCAAAGCATAAAAAAGTTATGGTAAATTTTACCCCCTTCCCTCCCCAGTGTTGGAACGTATGTGATGAAAATTTGTAAATTTCGTGTCAGTAGCGGACTGAGCACCTAAGAGTTAAGCTAATTACCAAATTTCATAAATTTATCTCAACTGGTTTCGGAGTTATTTAGAAAAAAACCATCATCAGAGTGGCCCGTTTAAGTGGCTATAACTTCCTTAGGGAGAATTTTTGGACCCACGTTTATATAAAGAAAAAGTAATCTTTTTCGACATAGAACACCCTGTATAAATATTGCCCCCTAATTTCGGGACATCCTGTATAGAACATCGAGTTTTATTAGTAGCAATTCAAACTTTTCTAACACTGTTCGTAAACATTGTTACCGAACACAACTAACTAACACTATCCGCGTCAGTGTGGACCAGGGGTTAGTCTGGAGTTAAAAACAATAGTTATGTAAATTAAAATGTGGGTGTTCTGTGATTACGATTACTTAATAACAATGATTTGTTAACTTCCAACTTCCAGCGTCTGTATTTCTTAATTTATTTCATTACAGAACGAGGTAATCTCGTTGTTCTTATTGGACGCAGAATCCAATATAATGAGAAACAACTATGCGCCAGACACTGCGAGCATTAATTTAATTAAATAAGGAAATGAAAACACTGGGATGTTTTCGAGAAATTATGTAGGTACGCGTCGGGTGGTGTTCCCGTTTTGTACTTCCGCCGTCATTTAACCGAACCGGCAACATAACCGGGAATGATAAACGTCGTATTTTAAAACCGAGTAATAAAGATTTATATGACAGTTATGCATGAACGTTGTTAGTTGTATTTCGCCTGATACCTGATTAATTAAAATTTTACTCGTAACTGGGACTTTCTGGATTTATGAGGAAAGTTATGTGCAGTTTATTGTACGTTTTCTCCTCCTTGCAATTTTCCGTTACTCTCTACCTCCTGAATATTGAATGTCATAACGTAGTAAAAAAACGGAATTCAAATAACCGACAACCTTATTGCAGGTTGCAAATATAGGCAGGTGTATTTGTTAGTTCATAATTAATTGAAGAGCTTTTCTATCTAATTTGATTAAAATTGTTGAAACTTTAAATGTCTTACAGGGAATCAATCTAAATAACTTCTTCCTTAAAATAATAACACAGGCTCACAAACTGAAATCGAAAAGTCCTTTTTCTCAGACTAGGTGACCTTTATGTTTTTGGGTTCGCTGATCACGATCCTGGTGTTCGTATGACCCCATCACGTTTAGATCAAAGTCAAATGAAGGTCAAACACATTAAATGTTGACTTGATTATTTCGAAAAGTTTTAAAGATATTGACTCGAAATTTGAAAAATGCTTTGGAGGGATAAATGTGCATTTTTTGGGGTGATCCGAATATTTCTACTTGCACCAGTGGCGTTCGTGCGAGAATTCCACAAACTTTTTTAATTAAAAAAATGGTACGCCACTGACTTTATTCCGTTTTGATATTTTTTTAGAAATTTGTCACGAATTCTGAATGAAATTGGTATCTTATTTTTTTTGTAGGATGCACCACTTTTGAGGAAAAAAATAAAACATATTTTATTGCACGTTGTGTATTTTTATTTTCTATTGATGCGTTTATCTAGTAGGCTGCTGTCAATATTTCTAAATAAAATACAACCATCAAATTTTGAGTCAATATCTTTAAAACTCTGAAATAAAAATAAATAAAAAATAAAAATTTAAATACTTTGTATCCCGAAAACGAAGCATATTTCGCCCTATGTTTATATGTACTTTTTTTCACAAAATAACTTCGGCAACCACCTCCTAAAATATTTCGCACTTATTTACAAACACACTGTATTTGACTTGAATCACTGCTAAAAAATAAAATTAATTTTTATCGAATTTGCATTTTTCTGATAAATGACTTACAGCAAAAACGTAAATGACAGTTTTATAGGAAATTTAATTTGCTACAACGAAATCTACAGTATCTAAGCTGTAGAGTTATTAGTTCACGAAATAAACAGAATCAAATGTTTGAAAACTTAATCTATCCTTGTAATATAAAATTTATCGTACTGAAAATTTTATTGTAAATTGTTAAATAACTATTGTTGTAAAATGCAGGAAAAATCACGCTTGAATGAAAAAATAATTTACTTTTCTAAACTGTTTTTTTTTTTTCAATTGAACTAAATAACACATTTTCATTAATTTTGAACATCCCGTATCTCGAAAACGAAACCTTTTTGACTCATCTTTGCAGTATTTGTTTTTATTAGTTTGTGATGTGGAAATAAGAAATAAATGCCAAAAATTTAACCACGTATTTAACTCATCAAAAGCAACAACTTTTCTCTATTTTTTTTTCGAAAGCTCATATTTTCGTCCGGAATTTTGAATCCATTAAAATGCTAATAAGATACCTTAACATTTTTTGCTGGTGTAAATCGTAAATGCTAACACCAATTAGTTGCTAATTTAGTGCCGTCTTTTTGTTCTATATTACTTTAACTAAAGTGTGACTGAAAGCAATAAAGGTACGGAGTGAATCCACTGAGTAAAATTTGAACTAAAACTGAGTATTTTCAATCAAATACATTCTCAAATATACAAATAAATTCTAAAGATAAACCCCTATTTGGTACACTTGTATCTAAATCGGAGTAAAGTCCTCATAATTGAGTGACCCCACCACATTCCATTGTTGTCGTGCATTGTCTTTGGTGTGGTGTATGGCGTATAGTGCTGCAGTCACTCACTTGATAGTTAGCAGAAACTCGGATTTGAATAAAATTCACTCACTTCTGTTGCAATAGTTTCACTAATAAAATTTTAGTTGTACTCATACTAATAGAGTGAATATTTCACTCAATTGGGGTGGGCAGAAATTGATACATTACTGAGTAAAATTGAGTGAAATTGGGTGAATTTGTTTTACAGTAATAGTTGGTAATAAAAATTAAAGTTTAAGAAAATTATATTTGGAAAACTAAGAAGTTTAAAAAAATATTAGTCAAAAGTTGTTGCTTTTGATTAATTAAATACACGACTAAAATTTTGGTACTATTTTTGGGTCACTGTATAGGGAAAATATAAAAATTGAAGACCAACATAACATATTTAAGCAACATTATTATTTTAAATGGAATAACACTACTTTTACCGTTATTTTGAATTATGTTAACAGTTTCCTTTTTTGAATTTTTAGGTTCCTTCTGCTGTCTATTACTTAGACATAAAAATGGTAATTAATGCCCACAAATACATAGAAGTAAATGAAATAAGTTAAGATAAAGATAACATTTCTCATTTAATCATGGGGACATAAATATCTTCTTTTCAGCCGCTTCTAAAATTTTCAACTTTCCTGTGCAAGAATATTAATTTTAATTAGAATTACAGCTTTGCGTTGCATTCTTTGTAATAATCTAATTCAGTTCAGTTCGTCTTGTCAAGTTCGCCCAATTTAATCAACTAAATAAAGTTAAGGCAAGGATTAAATTAGAGTTTATTAGGTTTGCGTCATTGCTGTGGCTATTCGGCCGTAACTTTTTGTTAATCTGAATCCGCAAGGCCTTTATCTGCTTACTACAGATAGAAGATGTACCTGTCAGACCGACTAGTGGAAATGGCATTAAAGATGTCTATCAACTCTTAACGTCACGAATGTTGTTTTCTTATACATGGTGTTTCACGATGCAGTACTCTCACTTCAGATAATTTTATAATAAATAAAATTCGTTTAATGACATCATTGGTTGAATATTTGTTTAAGCCATGTCAAGGCAACATAAATGGTTTGAAACAATATGTATAAGTGACTATACAGGGTGACCCTTCGGGAACTGTATCGATCGATATATATTATTACATTTTCGTATTCTACGTGAAATTTGAGGGTTTTTCAGATTTTATTGCATCTAGTTGTATCGTAAAATAGAATCTTATATTTTTAAAAGCCTGTTTTGTATATTAATAGTTTCAAGTGTTCTTGTAAATATTTTTTTAATAATTTTTATTATCGAATTGAATATTTTTAAACTCTGAGTAAAAAAAATAGCTATTGTTAGGAATTTTTACTTTAACTTTATAAGAAAACCATCTTACAAGAAAAGGATTTGGCTATATGCATATTGATTAAAAAAATATTATTTTGCTATGTGACTCTGTCAATTTTGAGTTTTCAAAACAGTTATAAGAACTCATACCATTGTTTTTTGTGGCTAAACCAAGCCCAAAATATTTTGCTCATAGCTTTGTAACTAGAATAAAGTTTTTAATAAAACCGACAGAAAAGGTAACTGCAATACTACAAAAGTCTGTTTTTGCTTGTTCAAGCTTTAAATTTGCATAAATTTCAAATATCCATGTTGCTTATTACATCGTCTATAAAAAAGATGCCCACATCAGTTTGATATGCCTGAAAGCAAATTTACTCTGAGTGGCTGATCAGTCTGAGCACCCAGAACCCCGGACGACGCCTATGACCTAAACCTAAACCGTTAAACTCTTAACACCTACATCCTTTCGTTTTGTTCTGCTTACAGATCATTTTCTGCAAAAAAAGTGGGAGGTTTTAATTAAAATAAATATAACAGCGTTGCGGAACGGTTCTACTAATATCCGTTTATTAAAATTTAATTTATAGACGAATTTGTGTGTCACAATTTATGAGGAAAGTTGGGAGCGCTTATTATTATTTTTTTCTTTATTGCCTTACCTTCCCGAAGCTGGTTAGACCGCCGTGCTCCGGTTTTTTCCCGGGCATATCTTCGTGAGAACAATCGGCCCTGAAAAAAAGGTAAAAAAGAGGCAGATTAGTTTGGAATCTAAATAAGTTTCAGTGCATGCAGTAGTCGCGGCGAAGGTAAAAGAGCGGAAAATATTTTAATGAAAAATTTCATCCAGAAATGCGGAGGAAGTTGAATTTTGCTGTTTCTTTATTAATTTCCTGTGATTTATGTTCATTATTACGAGGGGCTACTATAATAATTTATTTAATATTCAGGGTTTTCCATAATAGGTAGGTAGGTACTCCTGAAAATTCCTGTTTCTAACAGAGTAAAATTTAAAAATAAATTATAAGATCTTAGTTTATTCAACTTTCATGGATAGAGATTATTAATTTAAAACATTTTCGTTGTAAATTTAGAGATATTTAAATAAACGTGATACTTTTTATATTTCAACACTGTTCAAAAATCAAACAGTTTGGTATTCGCGGCCCTGTATTTCCTTTATTTTAACAAATAGCTGTAACAAACCCTATATATTTTTAAATCGCCGCACAAACTCTATCAAATGACATTGTTAGATCGTCTCCATGGTAACATAATATGTCAAAATTGCTATAGTCAATTGTTTTTGTTCAAATAGCACACTATAGGTATATTTTTTTATCAATTCTGAAAGGCATATTTTTTCTACGTTCAGCTATGTAAGGAAGTCTATAGTTTCATTCGAAATATTGCTAGAAAAACAGCAAAAAAGATTAAGCTTTAGCATATCTTCCGGAATTGATAAAAAAATATATAGTATGCCAATTGAACAAAAACAATTGACTATAGCAATTTTGACATATGACCATGGAGACGATCTAATAATGTCATTTGATAGAGTTTGAGCGGCGATTTAAAAATATATAAGGTTTGTTAGAGCTATTTGTTAAAATAAAAGAGATAAAGGGCCGCGAATACCAAACTGAATCACCCGGTATATTTATAGGCACTTTGTTGGTTTGTGACGAAAAATATACCGTTAAAGTTTGGCAAGGCATATCGTTAACACCCTGTATAAATAACGCAACGTAGAAAATTTCTAGGTTTGAGTAAATAATTGATTATTTTATAATTGATATTATTGATAATTTATATACCTAATTGATAATATTTGATAATTGATTATTATGAATTAGTTAATTTAGAAAAATGAAAGAATGGAAATAATAATAATTACACCCGTACAAAAAAAAAGCGAAAAATCACCAAAAATAGCGAAAAATCGTCAAAAATCACGTTAGTGGGAGCAAAAAAAAAAAATTCGAAAAATTTCTTCTGACCTTAATCGGGTCTGTTTCTTAGGTACAGGGTTAGTCACTATAATCTGACAACTTATTGTGAGTTTATTATTGAAATTACAAAAAAGTTTTTAATACAAAAGTTTTACAGTATTAGAAAAAACAATTGAATAATGGAAAATGCTAAATTAAAGAAATAATTTTTTTTTAATGGAACATCCTATATATTAGTGCATACTTAGCTTCGTTAAATTTTTCTCTTTTCAAAAATATATAATATGTTACTGTTTGATTCAGGACTTTTCGACATATTTCAGTTTTAAACTATTTTTGAAAAAACAGGGAAATTTATGTCTGACGGATCGCAGTCGCTATGGACGAGGCAAGCGGAACAAACAAATGACTTTGAGAGACGTTTATTTAGCATCATTAATTTATTTCCTTTAACAAACTATTTTAACAAAGAAATAATGTTTAGTGAGAACGAAAAATTTGAAGTTATCCGTTTATTTTACAAGAATGTAAAAGAAAGAAATAATAAAAAAATAATGTGAATGCTGAATGCAGCGCACGCCGAGTATGCTCGTTTGCATCCCGGGTTTGCAATTCCATCTTGAGCTGCATTTTACGACATTGACCGACGCTTTAGAGAAACCAAATATTTTGGAAGACAGAAACGAAGAATTATTCCAAATGAAGAATTAAAACTAACTATATTACTTACTATATTTTCAAGGTAAGCAAATATTCATTCAAGGTACCGTAGTAAATTCAAATATTAAATTACTGTAGAAAGGCCAGAAGAGTCCACAGTAAATGCTTCAAGACAGTTAGAAATAAGCCAAAGTAAAATTATTAGAACGTTACATAAATATAAATACCGCCGCTATAAAACTATGCCGCATGCCGGTCCAAAAACTCACCCAAAATCAAAAAATTCAACGATTAGAGTAGTGCAGAGAAATGCTGCGCTTGAAAAATGGTGACCTAAACTATTTTGAAAAGATTTTATAGACTTATGAGGCGACTTTTACAGCAGCTGGCATTTATAATAGAAAAAATACTCATACCTGGGCAAATGAAAATCCTCACTATAATAGGGAAATTCCAAATCAAAAACGTACATCGTTTAATCTTTTGTGCGGTATATTGAGAAATAAAATCATTGGTCCACTATTTTATGAAGGTGCTTTGACTGGGGAAAGACTTGCATTTTCTTGAAAGTCAAATAGGAAACAAATTGAAAGGAAGATCTGCCGCTGATCGACTATACCAATTTAATTTGGCACCAAGACCTCCGCATAGAACCAGAGCAGTACGAAATTATTTAAATAATAGGTTTGATTTGTGAATTGGTAATGGAGAATATTCAATGGCCTTCAAATAGCTCAGACGTTACACCCTTGGACGGTTTTCTGTGGGGTTACTTAAAAAACGAGGTTTATGAAAACTAAGACATAAAGTTGATCAATGTATACAAAATTTAAGTGAATTTAATTCCCATTTCATACTAAATGCAGTTCTGTAAATTAATGAGGATTATACGAAGTGCATCAATAATAATGGTGGTCATATTGAGCATCTGTGACTATTTGTGTTTTAGTTGGTTTTTATTAATTAGGTATTAAAATTCTGTTAAAGTTAAGAATGATTTTTATTATTATCACAAAATAAACGGATATCTTCAAATTTTTCGTTCTCACTAAACATTATTTCTTAGTTAAAATAGTTAATAATAATAATAGTTAAAGTAATTGTTATAGGAAATAAATTAATGATGATAGGTAAATAAACTTCTACTAAAGTCATTTTTTTTTGCGTGCTTCGTCCATAGCCATTGCGATCCGGCAGACATAAATTAGCTGTATCCCCCACAGATTTTGCAAAAAAATGCAAAAAAGTAGCTGAAAATGGCAAAAAGTCCTATTAATGAGAGTGAGAAAATTTAGACAGAGCTTTTCTAGATTGGATCAAGTATTCTCATAAATTTTGTCGAGTCGAATTTGGATCTAACGTCTGTTGATTCATTATCCAAAAATTTTGAAAAAATAAAATAATATCGCAAAAAATTGGAAATCGTGTATCAAAAAATCTTGAATAAATGTCATGGATATGAATTAGTTCCAAATAAATTCGACTGACTCGAACCGGGCTTTCTTTAACATTGCTCTTACACTTTTCTTCTCTTGTAGCGAACTCTTCTTTCGAATGACCTATGCAGTTTCTCTTTCTCTTTTGTCTATTATAAATCGTTTCTCTTGTAAGTGTCCAGCAGAAATCTGCCATCATGTTGATATCCCATCTTCCTTGGTATTGATTCTCCATTTCACTTATATCTTGATGGAATCTTTCTACTTTTTCATCACTGTAGTCTTCAAGGTTTTGAATAATTTATAAAAGAAAGGCACGTAAAAATCACAGATAAATATGTTGATTATATGAGAGAGATTTTGTCGTCTTTTATAACGAAAAGCCTCAAAATGACCACTCTCTGAAATAATAAGCCAATGTTTTTTAAGTAAAATACAATTTTATTTTCTTGTTTTTAATTTCGCATTTTGTGAGTGAAACAAAATGTATGAAGTATCGGATTGAAAAAAAGAACCAATTTCGGTACTATGACGATTTGCCATAATAGTAGTTGTTCGCCTTTTCAAAAACATTCTTTGAAAAGGCGGACAACTTAATGTTTCTAAAGTGCGGTTCAAAAAACGAGCACTCGGTACATGACTCAAATTCCCACCTCTTACGAGGCTGACAAATTAACACGGACTAAACTCCCTGATAATTTTCTCATTAATAACCAGGTCTTCTGGTTTTAAATCATATTGCATAAATTTAGACGCAGGTCATCTCCCCACGCTATAATTAATCACCGGGCGACTTATCTCGTAATACTCTCCCATACTGGCGTGCAGCTCTGTTCCAGGGACAGCGACGCAGGCTGTTGTAGAGGACCTAAGTGGAGGGTCCGAGGGATCCCCCAAATAGAAAGGGTTGTGAAGAGTTAAACTATCCTTAATGTTCCTTACTTATGGCACGGGCAAAAACTAATCCCGGTGGGATTATCGCTCAAATATTGAATTATTGCCGATGAGTAACAGGGGCGTTATCGCAGTGATCTAACTACTAAACTTGATTTAGTTGGATAGTTATGAGAACGGGTGGTCTTGCGAAGATATAACTGGCATTAATTTTTATTATTAGTTATTGTACTTCATGTTACAGAGCTCGTAGATAGTGCCTTTTTTTGTTTGAACATGTATTCACATTCTCATTCTTATTCCCATCTAATTTTTATCGTAATACTTAAACGAAACAGCACCATTTCTATAAAACGATGATATTAGGGTAAATAACTACTATGCCGACTAATGCCCCGACCAGCACTGAATATACCCGAATATCTAGCTCACAGCTACATACAGTACTGTTACATCACACCTATACCCATACCGAAGGGGGTTAATTCTTGGAATATGTGGATCAGTTGTCGGTAGTGATAATATTAAAACGTTTTACGACTCGTAAGCAGTGAATAGTAATCAAGCATCTTTTGTTACGTTTAGATTAGGTGTGTGTGTGTTGGGGGTTGCGGTGGTGGTGGTGGTGGTGGTAGCAAAGTAGGAGAAGTAACTCAATGGCGAGAAGATAAAAGTTACTGTCTAAGTCATTGGGTGGGTTACTAATAATCATTTTATGGCTGTATAATACAGCCCAGTCATTATAGACATGAAAAAGCCTGTTTCGGGAAAAAAATACTATTAGAAGTTT